TTTATTAGAGGTACCCTTATTTGTATTCACGAGTGTTTGAAACTCGGATAGGGAGTGAGAAGCGCGCATAATTAAAAACAGGTTACTTGAGGCTTAATTCAGTCTTAATTGCACAACTATTGTAGTAAGGGCGATAGTACGAGCTAAGCCTGGTAACATCCCCCGGTCGGCGAACACACCTACACGAAGATAAATCGTTCTCCCAAAAACCCCATTTTATTTCCCAACCGTAACAACAATATTATGCAACAGTGCAGATCGGGCATGTCCTGTGACTATTAGATATAAAGTAATCAAAACCAAAGATATTAATCATTATATATAGTAGTTATAGGGAGTTAATGTGGTAAGTGATAGTAAGTATTATATTATCTTTGCCATGAACTATACTAATCGATTTACAAATTTATCCCAGCTTCTTCCTGTTACTGTCCATTACCCACTTGTTAACTAGCTCAAGCAGAGAACCATCAAACATAAAAAGCTATTCCTAAGAATCTTTGAAGAGGATTTTGGGCTCACAGATTGATTATTACAAAATCGCTTTATAAAAAAGTTCTTTCCAGAACGGATTCATATATTTCATATAAAAAGACAGTTCACTTAAGCAAACTTTCAGTTAATTGTGGAATGAATGTCTTCGTTAAAGTGAATTTCACTGTGTATTATGTTTATGCCATAAGAAAGAGAAGAATAAGTGCTTTGCTTCTCTGTTTATAAATACATTCTCTTCCTCCACACGTGAGTAAATAGACAAAAACAGCTTAAACTGGATATTACTAAACGTGTTGTATCACTCATTATGACATCGATTGATAGATAGCAAATTGTTTCTTCGCAGTAATGGTAATAAATTATTTCTAATATTTGCAATAATAATAATATTTTCTTGGCTGCTACTTTGGCTGTTGAACCGGTTATCATCGTCACACATCCCCAACATTTCAATGTGAACACAAGGATGTTACATCATTCGGGCATATTGACAAAATAATGTTGATATAAATCCCTCTTGAAAAATGCATACCCACAAGCGATTTCAACCTTTTGAATACGGGCAGAGTTTACCATTAAAAAAATTTTAGCATCGAAATAATGGTTTTAGTTTTCTTGTGATGTTGCGAGTGAAAGCATAGCCACGTTCGTGCAACTCTTATTGTATGACAACAGATAGAAACGATTGTCGTACAAATATCGAAAAATCAGAAGCAATTAATGCTGATTATCAAGGGGCTTGGGTCTCGCATACAATTTTCTTATAAATTGAACGAACTTTGAACCAAATAACATTCAAAGGACTGACTTGTCTCACACAGACACTCACAACAGTTAATATTAAACCCAACAAATACATTAGAGGATAGTAAACGAAAACGATAATTTGAATATACCTGTACCAACGTTCAATGATAGACTCTCAAAACTTGCAGCAAAGGTTTCCAGGAACCATCAACAACAGAGCTACCAACTGTGAGTCCGTTTATGGTTACATCAATCTTAAAAGGCCAATGGAATGCCCTCGAAGAGTTCTTCAGCAGGTGTACATCTCGCAAATTTGGGCTGAACTCATATGGAAGTCACGTGGTGAAATAAATAATAACAGACACTCTAGAAAAACCCAATTCACTATATGGCTACCAGCGTGCATTTCCGCAAATACTCACTGGTTTTTTTCTCGGACTTATATCAACTCTCTTTAAAAAACGGTTGGAAGTTAAGAATCGGAAAAAACCCCCAGCAACACGTGATGTTTCCCTGAAAATACCAAATAAAATTTCAAGGATGACTGTCTTCTTGTCATCAATAATTTTGGCAACTGCATTTAAGAAGTTGAAAATCTTTTCCGTACACTCTTTGGCATCTGCATGCCAAAAACCGAAGCTATTGCCATCCCTGCGGTCTTTTTTGGAATCAGTTAATGCTATTTCGCATACCAGTCGTCATGAACACCGATTATGGAGATGTCGAATGCAAGCTGCAGATCCCATTACACAACTCCAAACTGACCCGTTTACGTGGAATGTATGCGTAATTGATAATGCTGTAATGTCGACTTGAGAGAGGCGACCTATAAATATGGCAATATATGATGTCGCTGGCAAATCATTTCATGCAACATTACGCATGATTTTTCAATTCAAACTTTCAAGAAGAATAAGCTCGATTTCGAATAGAAAAACCAGACTTAACAGCCAGGATCGTTTATTCGGTGAAAATAATCAAACTAAGGCTTGGTTTCAAGAAGTAAATAACGCTTTCAAGGCTCTAGTTACAAACAATAATTCAAGCAGTTTCAATATGGATGAAACTAATAAAGAGCTTGCAGATAGCATACCAATTGGCTGTAGGATTGAAAAACCAAACGTTGTTATTCTGGGGGCTGGGGGATAGCCCATCAAGTAATGAGAGCATCTTCGCAACATGTCGGCGTATTTTGAGGATCTAAAAGGACGTCTGGACATTTGGGCAGATCAAGCGATTCATCAGCGGCTGATAAAATTTAACGACAAGAGCACACACGGACAATTAATTGCGAGTTGGTTAGGACAATGGCACACGTCGAACGTTATGTGCACTGCGCTCATTCTTATGTTTTCCAGCTATGGCATTTATAATTGTGCATATGAACGTGGAGTGACATTTCTGGAATAATTCGAGTACAATTCCGATTATCGCGCAACTTGCAGAATATTGGAAATGATCTGGGCGTCTACGGGTATAGCACTCCATAATTACCTCACGCAAAGGGATTGACACTGGAACGGTTAATAACAATGTGGCTAAAGTGTGGGCTCTATATTTCAAATGGGCCAGCTTTTGGAAAGGACATTAGATAGGGATTCGAAGGGGGAATTCCGATATGCAATTTTCTAACTTAGCTGTATTTGCTCCTCTATTTCAATGCCAACGTATATTTAATTATATAATAGATCATTAATAGACAGTTAGTTAGTGAAACGATAGAAGCTATATAAGCAGTGGTATTTTCGCTAGCTAACATTATCTTCTAAACACTTGTACATTAATTTAGCATTCATAAATAAATAATATACTCTCAAAATACCCTGCCACTCCAGCGATTTTGCAGCTGTAAACCAAAATTGAATGAATACAATTGTTAATTATTACTAATAAACGCGTTTTAATTTGGAGTATAATCATTCCCCGATGTCTTACGGATATCGAAACTAATCATATAGTAATAGAGGGTAGAGTTATAACTGCAGTGTAGTGTACGAATCGTGAGTATATAAACCCAATTTAAGGTCACTATCCGTATTAGCGATTTAAGCAAAAGTAGAGGTTAGCCAAGTCCAATTACTGAACGCTTTCCTGCAACAAGATTTTTTTCGGCACTATTGCGGTCTAGTCACGTACGGGTCGTTACTGATTATGGAGACGTTATAAAATTAATAAAGAGCTCATAGACGGCATTGCAATTGGCTGTAAGATCGGAAAACCGAACGAGTTGCTCATAATGAATCAAGGGCATATTATGTTCTAATGCCTGATGCGTTCATTTTACTTCTTGTCTGAAAATGTCTGTTAATCACCAACAATTACTGTTTATGGTATCTCCCCTCTACCTTCCCTACATTGATTGCCGAAATTCCGGATTTGGGGAAATGATCATCCCAAAACGGCAGAGTTTCTGCGCGCAACAAAATTTCACATTCTTGCACTGTCTATAGTCACAATCGTGTCTATGTTGCCAAATCATTAAGTCGTGTAACCCGAATTTAGTTTTCGTGTCATTTTGAGACGGTACTGTACGACCCAAAAATTGACTATAGTAATAACTGATAGTAATAAAGCGTATCCGCCTTGCATCAGCCAAGTTATTATCGCCTTAACCTTCAACTTCCATTCATCGATTAAGCCACGCTTGCATTTTAAATGTCGACATTTGCATTTGGACCACATACGATACGAGCAAGCGAAGTCTTTTTCACTACGAGACTGTCTTATGCGCTTGTGAATTTGAAGCCCATTGCACCGTAATCTATTGAACCTGTTAATCCGTGTCTGACAACATTCGAGTTCAATCGTAAATTGTACTAATTTAAACTTTTGATCAAACTGCTAGTGGACGTATCCTTTTATCTAAACTTTGAAGTTGATATTGTTTCGTATGAGGTAGAATAACCTTGACGATGACTGCTTTAGATGTATTGGTAGTTTCACGAAGGAATGTGCCCCGGTTTAAAGACCTCACTCCAGAAGAGGTAACTTTCATGATTCTGATGTTTGCTTACTATACGGTGACACTCGACAATCGTTGATCTATCTTGCTTTCTAAATGCTAGTAATTCTGGCTAATCGAAAGTAATTTTATTGAAGAAAAGACGACTTATCGAGTGTCACCATTTCCTTTGAGTTAGGCTAATTGATCTGCGTATCCAGACAGCCGATATGTTTCTGACTACCCAGAAGGTTGGGAAGGTTGTCGAACGCGAGTATAACGGAACTTCACTGACAATTGTTATGCAGGTAATCCATCGGATAGTTCTGATGTGTTCGCATAACGCGCATCTGACCCTCAATTTTTCTTTGGATAGGATGGATTGGCCGCAGGACAGACGGTAAGCTCATCGGCATTAACTGAACAGGAATGATATTTGTATCGTTTCTTGTCTACCGATAACTTACCACCGCCCTTTGCGCTCCAGATACCACATTGCCACGTCCACATAATTCCACGTAGATTCGGCGATTGGGCCAACAACGACGACATTTACATTGATATTGATAAAACGAAACTGAACGAAGTATACACAACAACCGAGCACACAACCGCGTTGAAAGTAGATAATGAGGAGCGTCAACCAAGAACATTGGAAGATATGGCGAAAGAAGCCGCTAATTTGAGGAAATTCTTTACGGATGCAAGTTGAAATAAAGTAAACCCATGCCTGCAGAAAAAACAACCGTATAATCTCTCCGGGTCCTTTATTCTATTTGGTCGCACTTGCTATCAATAAATTAATAATACACAATTAAGTAATATCCGGGGGGCTTAATAACCAGCAGCCATTCCGTGTTTTCTAAAATCACTTGCGGCGTTCAACACTCCATTTTTCAAACGCATAACAGCTTGTACTTCGGACATTGCAGAAGAAATATCGACAACCGTCACCTACATATGAAAGCGCAATTTAGCAATTTAGCATACAAAGTAATCAGTATACTGTGCTCAATTTACAAATATCGTACATTATGTCCTCGCAATACAAGCCCTTCAATGAGGTCTTGAGAGTATCCGGATTCAATTGTGACCTATTTGTGTATGAAAAATAATAGTTAGTTTTTTACGTCTACTAGAAGCAATGGACAGACAGGTACTTAACCTGATTTGGCAATAGCTGGTGATGTAGGCGAGGAGCATCTATTGCTTTCAAAACGTTCATATCAAAATCATAGACGTTTATTATAACCTGTCGACAGAGTAAACAGTCAGTTACAATGTTTTCTCCCCAAACAATAGTAAACAAAAGGCTTACTTGTAGGGTAGCTGTTATTATCTTGGCGCCACCACTGGCACCGAGTACCATCTCAATTTCGCCATTATTTTCTATTATTGCTGGTACTGACGAGGATTGCGGTCTCTTGACAGGAGCTGTCATATGCATAATAAAAATCGCATGTTTATCATATAATGGCAGACGTTGGATGCAAACTATTATAACATAGGAGCTTTCACCTACCGACGTAATTGAAAGGAGATGGATATAAACCAAAGTAATTGGGCGTGCCTGGTATAGAGAAATCATCCATTTCGTCATTAAGCAATATTCCTGTCTTCTGATCCAATACAAGAGATCCAAAGACTAGATTAACCTATTAGCATTATAGAATGTATTATATTTGAGGCTGCCACTGTTGTGATAAGAGTCATTTTCAGTATAACGAATAGCTACCGTTGAAGTCAGGGCAATAGCTTGACCATCTTTATCAATAACTGATACATGAGTTGTTCCATGGTCTTCCTGTATATCAAATCGAGGATTATAATATTCTGGGTCAAAAGTCGTATCCTATTATTGGAACCAAAGATTAGTCAAGTAATGATAATCTCAACATTATAACGCAATACACTCACATCAGATATGTTTCTTCTCTGTAGACCTGCGTAGTCTTTTCTGAGCATTGCTTCTATATTTGCAGTATTGTTGACCTAAAGACATAAGCGTAAGATAATTTACATGAAAAAAAAAAAAAACGGTCTAGAGTTTGTTGATATCCCAATGTTGATATAGTTTTTGAATGCTTACAAAGTCAGGGTCACCCAATTCTGTTCTTCTTGCAAATCCGTCTATAAAAATAGGAGTTGTACATCAATACATGACATTCGCGAGTGTTGTATTCAAAAGTGTCACCTACTTACGCTTAAGTGCTTCTACAATCCTATGTATATTAACTTGTGTGGATCCGTCTACCTTCAGTTCATAGCCCTCTAATATGTTCAATATATTAATTAACGCCGGACCACTTGCCGGGGCAGGAGCTGTTGATATCTGGGAAAATATGAAAAAAACTATTTAGTACTTTTACTATTAGTAGTAATTGTGACTGAACGATTCCTTACCTTCCGACCATGATAATATCCGACGGTTGGCTCGCGAACAATAGGGTGATAAGATGCAAAATCGTCAAGCGTCAATATGCCCCCCGTTTGTTGGATTTTATCCACAAGTGCGGTTGCTATGCTTCCCTAAGATTGAATCATTAGTCAGTTTAAGTTTTTATGATCAACGGCTTTGCGATGAAATAATCCGCACGCTCCTACATTATAGAAAGCATCAGCGCCTTCTGTGGCAATTAATTCCAATGTATCGGCCAAGTTTTCTCTTTTTAACAAGTCTCCTTCTACTAGTAAAGTACCATTAGGTTTATATAATTCTTTCAATCCTTCATCCTTCTCAAGCATTTCTTTATACACCTACAGCAACAAATATGTCAACGATTTAAATAAAGAGTTTTTTCATGAGGTCTACACTTAATCGACTATATACCTGTATTCGTTTTGCCAGTTCAGGAGGCACTTTGAAGCCGTCTCGGTTCATTTTAATTGATGGTTCAAACAAACTCTTCCATGGCAATTTACCAAACCTGTATGATGATATTAAGTTAGCATAATAAATAAATGCTGTCACCAAAAAACAATCAGGAGACAAATATTACATGAAAAGTTTACTTTTTATGTGCGAGTTCAAATCCTCTTATCTCTCCACTAAATCACCAATATTGCGTGTACATTGTTAATCTTGAGTTCCAATACAGCACCACAATCAAAGACAAGAAAATCTACACTTTAATCGATACATACGGTACTCCAACACTAAGTCCTCCCCACTTGGCAAGATCAGGTTGCTTAGAATACATTGTCTTGTTTGCGGCACCTGCAGCCGTTTCCCTGAAATCTATTATTTCCGCCTTTCCGTCGGTTCCACGTATAATCATGAAACCACCTCTAAAAATATTGAGAAACATAAGTCAAACGTTGTGACAAGTTGTCTATAATAAAATTAATCACTTTCATACCCTCCAATTCCGGCCGAAAAGCTGTTGATTGAACCAATACAGAGCTGCGTAGCAATGGCAGCATCCACGGCTGATCCACCAGCCTTCAATACTTTGGTAGAAACAGATGCAAAAATCGTTAGCAAAGTCTGCAATTCACACAGCAACAGTAGTAGATTGTCGAATTTGGGGCACATACTTTCAACTCCAACATTAGAACAATGAATCTCTTCTGATGCAACAGCTCCATTCTTTGCAATAATCAATCCCTCAGGGTTAACGGGTTCCGTTTTCTGCCTCTCTGCAAATATCAAATATTTCCATTACGATTCTTGTCTTACGTCAAGTGGGATTATTACAGATGAAATTTTATTCAGATTGCAAAAAAACCCCAATCACACAGGATATACCATCTCGCAGCCCGACCAGTGCAAATAGAAGCACCAAGAAGATGATCAAGAACCAAACAACATATAGTCTCGCTCCAGTTGTAACTTTCTTCTGCCCTCTCTTCCATGCATCTCGCCTTCTACTTGATCGTTGGCGATTGACCGGTATCGAATCTGATGATGGTTCTGATGATACAAGCAATCCCGTGCGATCGGTAGCATCGTCGGCGGGTCGTCCTTCTTCCAATGTAGGTGTTGATAAGCGTACCATAGTCATTGGTAGGGAGTCGAGTGCATCTTCCGAAGAACTGTCGGAAACCATTGGCTTTATATGTTGCCCGAATCAGAGGGTTAGATTTGTGATCGACGGCGAATGTGTCACAGATGCCCCTTCAACCTCTTGCCGAAAAGTTTTCATTTTTGTGTATTATCGCGCAATCTCAAAATTGTAAATTTTCGAATGCCATTAACCAATCAGATGCGGAATTAATTTATCGCTAACTATAGATCTCACTCAACAATATAATAATAATGCGGGATTCCGATTTAGTTATAATCAAGAATCCTTCTCCCATGCACTCTCAAATAATAACCTCCCAATTAAGGAAGAAATTTTACTCGTCAGTGGTAGAATTCGTGACAATGTTTTCCAGCTCAAGTCTATATATATCCACGATCTTGCTGACGATGTTTCTATACCAAACACGTTTGGCCGTAAAATTAATTGCGTACAGGATTCTTTCATTTATTAGCGCTCTTCGTATGTAATTGTTGACTAACACAAAGGATACGATCGATTTGATAAAATTATTCCTCCCACTTGTAATGAAGGTTATATGAGAGAATTTAATAATGAATAGACGTTGTTGCTTTGTCATCTATAACTGGGAATGAAGTTCTATATGGAATGACACCTGGGCTTTAGCGAGCACCTCGCAATATACATGTACCAATCCATATCAGGTGATCGTTTGTGTTTCGTTTTACACGGTATGAACTAGTATACAAAATCTTGTACAGCTTATGATGATTTGATAAAGATAATACAAAACCCTAGCTTTTGTGTTGATGTTATACCAAATATCCGACGTCTTCAGAAAACGATATACTCGCCTGCCACTCTCACAATGTTGAAATTAACAATCGACAAACTCTCTACCAAAGAAACCAGCATATGCATCATCATTAATTGAGCAACATCAACAACGACAACAACAAACCCACCATTAATACCGATGATGATTTTGGTCCAGGGATGATTGCTGAAAATAATTCAGAATTTTGGCATCGAGGTTGCTTGGAAAGCAAGAATACAACCCACACAACGGATGGTGCTCGGTTCTTTTCCAACGCGCGTGCAGCGATTTTGCAAACAAGGACACCAACTGTTCATCGTCGCCCTCGTTTATTTTTGGGTAACGTGCGCCGTGCTACTAAACGAACCGGAAAATGATTGCGTTCACCCTAGGTTCGTAGTCTCAATTAATGTTATCACGAAATGCGCTTACTCACAATTTGCTGGTCACTGTTTTAATTATTTTCAATGACTCTTTTTTTTTAGCGATCTATCGATTCCCGAATCAGTACCCACGAACGAGATTTCTTTCAGAGACTCTGAATCTTTCGAAGACTGCGCCCGACGCGAAGCTAAAGAGGAAGCCGGAGTCGAGATTGAATCAATGTCATACGTCGCATTAGATAAATATATTGATAAAACAACTGGCAAATTATTGGATTTGAGATATCATTCTTGGAATTCTGGTGTTACAGTTGAAAAACTCGTGCACGATGGAAAGTAGCAAACGTCTTGAATTCTGTTGCAAGTGGGATTTTGGAGGCACTGTAAGCGTTAAGACAAGTATTTTATACTTCGTTCATACCGCTTATCTACTTTGATTAGGAATGCTTGTTGGAACAATCCTGCATTTGGGGATGAGTTTGTAGGAAGTTTAAAACAGCGAGCGGCAGAGTCAAGCTAGTGCCCCAAAAGAGTTTTTAAATAAAGGGAGTAATGGCTATATACTGTATGCACATTAAAGAACAGTACAGAACGTTCATTCGAGGCGTAGAATGTCTAGGACATTGTTTGAACGTATCGCGACAAACCAATCCTACTCTAATTAGTGTTTGAATAATTCTTCATACAAACACCCAATGATAAAAAATAGTACTAAAAATGGTTTATTTTATAATCATCCGATTACTGAAGAATTGATGGGTGATGGTTTTGGTTGATCCTGGAATTCCCAGTGTAAGTCTTCTACATCCCATCGGCCGATGCGAGCCCATCCATCTGGTTTCACATGATATACTAACAAAAAAAAGGTGTCAATACCAATAAGCAAAAGCATGAGTAAAATACAATACTAGACATGAGTCGTAGTATATATAATCATATATCCAAATTTAACACTTAATGTTGGTAATGCTACAATTCAATTCAATACATACAATTAACGGTTCCTCCGGAAGCACCATCTCGGTGGGTGGCATGATAAATAGCTCGTTTTCCTAAATCAATCGCACTCGGTACATCAAGATCAAAGTCAAATCCGTTATCAATAATACCATATGCAAATGGCGATCCGGACCCAACAGAGAATAGCTCGCCATCCACCCGAGTGCCGTCAGAATCAACATAGAAAATTTTGGGACCCTACATACAGGACAATAATAAAGTTTAGACGTACATCAATCGAATCATCAGACTTGTGCGCGTAAAAGTAATTTCAGTCATATTGCTCGTTTCTTACCGTCTTATCCCAGCCTGTTACCATCGTACCCTATAGTGTTTAGAAGTTATTAAGTATCATTCAGGCGACTCTTTCTGGATATACAATACCACACCACGGTGACCACAGACCATTGACAAACCCATTCCTTTGTATCTGTAGATCATATTAGCGAGCAATTTGGACGCTGCTGCTACCGAGATGCGCTCTTTGTTTCTCAACTCGTATAGTCTTTAATCAGTATCGTACATGAAATAAACAGTCAAGTTCAGACTATACTCGAATGTTTAAGAATATCCACGACGACGACGACGACGACGACGACGACGACGACAGCAACAACTCACCGACACTGTCGCCCAAGTTCTCTTTGCCAAAAAGTACAATCGGCGGCACCGCCAGCCATTGTTCCCAGAAGAAAGGGATTAATTTCTATGATTTTTTTCACAGACGAAGTGGCTAAGGATAACATACAATCGATCAATTATACTTGATCGTAAGACGGCAATCATAACGATCATCAGAATAATAGCGTTCGCGCACATCCAAACATCTGACACGCTATGTCCAAAAAAAAAATCATTCCAATCCCCAACACATACAAACATAGTTTCCCTGCGATGCTCTAGAATCAGCAGCCACAATCACGCCACTTTTAAATTTGAAGGCCAACGTGGTAGTTCCGTGCTGTATTTCTATCTGACAGGGTGCAGACGCGGACGTTATATCTTTCATAAATCTATTTAGCTTTTAGATCCAATTTTCATTTTTGTTAGATAGGACGCAAAGAAAGAAAAAAGTTATCGGAACCGTTTATAAACCAATGCGCTTTATGAATTGTCAACTTACGTTATGAACGGCGGGAAACTCGAACGTAGGCAACGCGAATCCATTAGCTGTGTCCCAGTCATACAAACTGTCGTGAAGTTCTTCTTCACATAACGCGGAAGTGCTCTTAAATTCGTTCAAGATCGAGTTCATGGTTAAGTGATAATAAATTCTCGTAAAATCAAGAAATATTACGACGATGTGACTTGCGTAACATGTTGACGCAAGCAGATCTGACACCCAAATAGAAAAAAGGTTGAAGGTACTTATTTTCTACAAACTACGGATATGGATTCATTTTTACCTGTTCAAGTTTCTTGGACTCCTCAAACAGCCGCCTCGGGGTCAGACTTTTATCCATATACCAATAATGCAGGGTATGTCTGGTCGATACGAAACAGTCGTGTCTGAAATAATGTTGATAATATATTAGAGATACGTTTAAATTTACGAAATTGTTAAGAGTGAGCGATCTAACGCTCCTTGGCATTTATTATATCTAAATCGTTGTAAGCAAGCCTTACAGGAAACGAGAGAAATAAAAACACGCACTTTGATATGCAAGACGATATCGATCATTTATCATAGCACTCATATTCCCTTTAATGACTTTTTTTCTCTACAGGACTGTTGCAGGAATATCAGGGGGAGATTTCTGTGTCATGGCTGCTGATACCCGACAGAGTTTCGGCGTTGGCTATTTGATCAATACACGATATCAACCGAAAATGTTCAAATTGTATGTCTAGTCCCACGAATCAATTTCTTTATTCTTTTACGTTGTTTAACCATTCAGCTTAAGTCAATTCTAATCTTTTCCACAGATCAAATGGTTCAGTTCTGGGAACGTCAGGGTTTTATGCTGATGGATTGACTCTTATTAAGAGAATCAATCAAAGACTGGAGGTGGATGTTTTTGGGGGGAGAGAAATGTGGATAGTTGGATTTTGTTTATTGACTCGGCGATTGTTTCGGTTTGTAGTGGTATAAACATGCACATGACAAGGAGATGTCAACTCCAGCGCTCGCTCAGTTGCTATCCATCACATTGTACTCTAAGCGATTCTTCCCATATTACGCGCGCGTCTTATTAGGGGGGTTGGACTTGGAAGGTAAAAGTAGTTTTATCGCGATATATGCGTTGGCCTCTTTCCTTCAGCTAACAGATTGTTCTTTTCTCTCCAGGCCATGGGGTAGTTTATGGTTATGACTCAATAGGGTCCTACGAACCCTGCCTTGCCCGAGCTACTGGATCTGGTGGATCATTGATCCAGCCCTTCCTTGACAATCAAATCTATCGCAAGACACCACTTGGCATCTTGCAAGCACCACACACGTTAGATCAAGTGAAAGCTGTTATGAGAGATAGTTTTACATCAGCTACTGAGAGAGATATCCAGACTGGAGATTATCTGGAGCTATTTATTATCACCGCTCAGGGTGTGGATGTGGAAAAGTATGACTTGAGGAAAGATTAATTGTGAAAGGTGAAAAAGAGAAAGACAGAAGGACAGGATTTGTTTAGACGAAAAAAGATAATAAAGTATCCTGCAATGAGACATTCTAGTTGTTTATTTTATAAATTATATTTTACCAGAAGTTAACTATTCCAACAGCGTATTTGGTAATGGTTATCCTGTGAGCAGATAATAAAGGAGACTAACATGATGAAAGATATTGTAGAGCTACACAGAGGATGAGGGAACCCAGGCAATCTGTAAAGTATCGGATTTAAAGTTGGTTAGTTCGAGCCTGCTAATGTTAATATTGTCTTGATTTGTTGAAAAGTCAATATATAACCACTTCCGGTTACTGTCGGAATTAATGACTTACTATTAGACTAAAATTAATATGCGCAGAGAGGTGTCAGCCTGTTGCATTTGGGGTTTTTTCTAGACGCGAATATAATATTTACACATTCAACTTTGAATGTAATCTGTGGGAGAGGAGGGGTATTCTTTTTAGTAACAATATTGACAAAGTTCCAAGCCATTATGGGAACAGTATGTGTGTATCGAAGATTGTTTGCGTAATTAAAACAAGAGAGACGGAATTTATTTGAATGGAATTTCGCCTTTATTCATCGCAGCGAAGTACGCGTTTGCAATTAGACTCGATAAAACTAACGCTCATATATGAGAAACGCGTCAACATTTCCGAAACCATGCCCTTCAGGAAGGCGGTGTCCCAATATCTCTATATAATCCACTCAAAGTTAATTAATTTTTCAAGGAGAGAATTCTGTTAGAAATTACTTGAACAATACAAGTGCGGTAAATTTCTGAGAGTAACGCAAGGATATGAACAATTGAATTTTACTCGTTGGTCATTTATATTAGCTATTTATGTGCCTATTTTACTTCTATTTGATTTATTACTTGTTTACGGTCCCCGAAATAAAAACCTTAATACAAAGTAATAAATGTATAATAATATAGTAACTTGACGTAATAAGTGCTAATAAGCACTGTTTCCCCTTCTTCGCTCTGAAAAATAAGGTCAGTGTCTGGTTGATAAACGATTTGAGACTATAATCTGTCACGTGGGCTATTCTAACCGTCAACTGTGACGCTTAAACAGATCAAATTGTTGCCACTCTGCATTTTTGGACCGTTAATTATGTCAGCGCCTGGTTCAACCACTCCACCTTCCCCAGCCGTGTCAAATGATGCACCGCCGAAGAGATCAAGGTATCCTTATATCGGTAAAGATATCCCGATTGATCCCCAAGTGTTAAACCAATTAGAAGAACAAGCCGTGATGGTAGCTGAAAATTTAGACACAATGATGAAGAATGTACAGGAGAGAATGTATGAGGTAAGACAAAGTTATAGAAGAGATCGAGAACAAGTTTGTTATATGAATGTAGCAACTGCCAAGCCGTTATGCAATGATTATTCATTGACCATTGATTCTATAGGCACTCTTAACCAATTGTCATCTTCCATTACCGACATCATAGGCATGTAATGCAACCCAACTCTCCTTCTCGGTGTACGAACAGTCAGTCAATGACTACCAACTGGCGATCAGCGAGGCCGCCAAAAACATGAGAGAATTGATTGAGCTGTGTGATGCATTGAACCAAGAATTCAATGGGGTTACCGCTTTAGCAAGTAGAATGTGAGTACCTTGTCTGGATCTGTGTGTATTTATGTGTTTATTCAAGTAGCATTTATCAATTATTGTGTGAACAGAAAAAATATCAGACAACAAGTTGATGTACTCGCGTCTGCGTTGCGATAAGAAGATCAGGAAAAGCATGATTATTATAACCTGGATTGATATGGGTCGTCTATAGAAGTGCATGCTGACAAGTTGAAGGTAAGCTAACAGTGTCAGGAGGGAATCAACAACGTTTGGATTAAAGCTGGCAAGTTTGACTGCTGATGATATTGTGTAAATAATATGCTTTGATAGTTACAAACACACAGCATTAAACCTAGATTCCCTTAATCATTCCCAAACCAACAGTGACAAAGTCACAAATTCACAATTGAAATCAGTTCGATAGTGCTACTATCGATACATTTAATACTTAAGTATTGATTATTGTTATAGTCCATCATATGAATATTATTTTATAGTATTACGCATTATAATCCCTAAGTTCTATGTTGTGATTGTTATATAAACAAGTATTATCAACTAAACAACAACATTCCCAATTAAGGCCGTCTCCTCACCTTTTTTATCTTCGTCATTACTATAATCGTTTCTATCACGATATAAAATGTAATGCTGTCCCATGAACAGTAGATCGAACGTGAGGGATACGGAACCAAGGCCACTATACAAAAGAAAGAGATATAGCGTGAGTTAATTGTTGATAAACAAATATGCAATGACTTGTATGAATAGATCGCTTCTTCGGGCTTACAATTTCACTGGATCCTAGAAATCATCAGAAGACATTATGAATCAGTTGTTAGCGTTGTTGCAAGTCTTTACCGCGTTCGTACATAAGAACGGCCCCTCATACTTACTCCTGATATTCCACTCCAGTCGTCCGCCAAATATGCGTCTAAAATAAGCTGTAGTAACGACAATGTTCCTCCAGTAAAATCTAGTGCAATATTATGAATACTCCATCCAACAGTAGATTTACGTTTGTAATTTATATATGCCTGGTATACGTATACAGTATTATCAGCAATCGCATTTAGCAATCAATTCTGTGCACATAACACACTGTATCGCTTACCTGAGGAATGTATTTAATCAAACTAAGTCCCAACTTTATATAGCTTATAAAGTACAGCAGATCAATCCACTCGCTAAGGCCACTAGCCACTTTTAAATACATGCTCAGAATTCCCAGGAATGTGATAAACGTTAAGGAAATAGCGAAAGCAGACAGTCGCTGATTACGGTTTTTCTATTAAAGAAAGAAGAGAAATAAGCAGAGACGTCAAGGAGTGTATAACCAAACAATGTGCATCCATGTTGGCACGAAGATCTAATGCATATCATACTTTGTAAAGAAATGTCTGACCAAATGTTATGCAAGATAGGATCAGAGCATGAACAGCGAAAAATACGTCATTTGCTCTGACCAAGTTCTCATTTCCTCCATATATCCTTCGGTATTGTTCTTGGATTGTTGATGAGTAAAAGAACGCAAGATTGAATATCTAATGATTGCGCAGAATGAGAAGTGAACGTAAGTGCCTCGATTCAATCGCCAAGCAAAATTTAGAGTTTTACTTACTGAATAGCATGCAAATCCGTATACGTTGTACCATAGAAAGTCAAACGAGAGTCCGCTCACACTTTAATGAATGAGTGATCAATTATCCGGAAATTATAATGATAGAAAAATCCGTCTTGTCTGACTTTACCTCTTCCTCTTCCAATTCAAGATTGCCTATTCACGACGTCGAGCGTAGTAAGTATACTCGTAATCATGTCAATTACTATCGAATTTTGTTCAATGTTCTTACCTGCGGGTAGAAACTGACCGACCACGCTGTGAAATATGTCTATAAAGTAGAAAATCTGTGTAAACAAGTTTCTTTTTAGACCTTGCAATTTATTATATTTACCCATCCCAAAATTTTAGAAAGTTCAGCACCAAATCGAAAGATCGATGCACTTGACATTTGATCAGTCAATATTATAATCGCTTAACGTTTGTTACATACCACCTCCTCCGTTTTCTCTTCCTTTATTATAATACGAATATTCTTGTGTGATGACAAATAGAGGTTGTCTACACCATCAGTGAATGTTATGGCGCCATCATTGACCAATCAGCGACTCTACTTTTATATTTTACCTGGTACTGTATAGGCCGATCTATTTGTTGCGACTGGAATTATAAATTAGTCATGACACATTCTCACTATAGCTGATGGTCATGATATCCTGTCTATCCTACTTGTTATAGTGCTCATGTGGATTGTCTGCCCTTGATTTTGAAGCATCATTACATGTGACAAAAGTTGATGGATTTTCTCGGCCTCCATCTTGCTCTCCTTTTTGAGTAAAACTTAGAAACCGTATATGTAACACAAAATTCAGTTCGTGACAGGATTCTGCGCCCCACCTACTTTATAAATGCCATCGTGTTGGAAAAGTGTTAAAAATTGGTTTAGTGTGTTGAGCAATAATAAATCATAACATTCATATTTAAAAATTATCATCTACGATTGTTAATTGGACTCATTCACAAGGAGCGGCTGAGAACGAGTATAAGGAATTCCTTAATTAGACGCGTCGAATATTTATTCCTTTTTACTCTTCGACTAAGGATTATTAATAATAGTTCTATTCTTGTGCGTCGTTATTGCTATACGAAAGTGTCTATTGCCGACAGTATCAGACCAAGACAGGAAGAATAGTTCGATTATCGGTGCAATCTATTATTATTATAGTATAGCACAACATCCGAATGAGAGTTTATACCTTGACAATTGGAGGTATAAAGAGCGATTGAAATAGATTGCTCTGATAGTGTGTGTGGGTGAGGACTAATGTTAATGATGACGATGTATATTCCTCCATAATTCTGCGTAAAGTGTCACAAGGATTTCGAGATCATTTCATCCATATGACACCGTCGTAAGTTGTACAATTTATAGAATGACAGTCCGATTAGATATATCAAAGGCGCAACTTTCTGTTAAATTTGATCATGTTCACGTCGTTCATGTTCCTTAATGTTCTTTTCTAATAAATGAATAACTCTTTATACATTATTAATGCTTCGTTCCCTGGTAAATTATTAGATAGTTGTGAACCACTAATTCCTATATCGATTAGGAATATCCGCCTCTTGTCCCGTGGATACTCTCGTGGCATTACAGTTGTATTCGCTTAAAAAGAGACGCGCGTTGAGATAGATACAATCTTACCCCAACTATAGGCTTCCGGAATAATTGATTAACCTGAAGGCGAATAACCGTCTAGGATTAGTGTCTACCGCTCGACACAAGGTCGTGAGTAGTTTACCTGTTGTTGTATTTAACTAGAATTAGGAAAAGTCGCAGCTCCGTGTGAAAATAGCTATTCCCAAGGTCAGTGATCGACTACTCTCTAGTGATTGTTGACTCGACAAAAAGTTTCATTGTCAAATAGTTTTTACACGATCATACAACTACGAGTTTATGCCTTAGCAATTAGGCCCCCTTTGAAAGTATACAGAATGCGAATCAAATTTAGAACACACACACAAAAACTCTCCCATGTGACCCAACATGACACTAGTATTCCATACTGACATATCTTTATTATTATAAAATTGTTTAATACACGTTAACTTGTCAAACAGATAAATTAAATCTTTTCAAAATTATTCTTCCTAATGTTAGTACATGACAACTGTAATTTATCTTCTAATTTACAGTCATTTTTGTCAACATTAGTATTAGTTGTAATCTTAATTTTATATTTAATGCTCCATACTATACATATTTTTTATTACCTCAATTTTCTCCCTTATTTTCTTTTTTACTTCTAACCCATTTTCATGTAAAGTATACACCTTTCTATGTGCTTTACTATATCCCTGTTCAGCTGCTCTTTCATATAACTCAAGTGCCTTTTTAATATTTGCTTCTACCCCAATTCCATTTTCATAATACAGGCCAAGAATATACTGTGCATAAGGATTTCCTTTTTCAGTTTCTGATTGACACAATTTAGTTACAAAACTAAGATCATGATCAACTCCATCCATTTTGCTATAATGTCTATTGTTTTTAACTTGTACTGACAAATGTGCTTGTTGTACTGCACTATGATATAACTTAACTGCTTTTTGTTCATCCTTTTCTATTCCAGTTCCAGTTTCATAACACAAGGCAAGATTATAATGTGCAATCGCATGTCCTTGTTCAGCTGCTTTTTTATACCATTCAACTGCTTTTTGTTCATCTTTTTCTACCCCAGTTCCATCTTCATAACATACAGCAAGATTAAATTGTGCATTGGCATCTCCTTGTTCAGCTGCTTTTTCATACCATTCAACTGCTTTTTGTTCATCTTTTTCTACTCCAGTTCCATCTTTATAACATCCAGCAAGATTAAATTGTGCATTGGCATCTCCTTGTTCTGCTTTTTCATACCATTCACCTGCTTTTTGTTCATCTTCTTCTACTCCAGTTCCATCTTCATAACATACAGCAAGATTAAATTGTGCACTGGCATCTCCTTGTTCAGCTGCTTTTTTATACCATTCAACTGCTTTTTTTTCATCTTTTTCTACTCCAGTTCCATTGACATAACATACAGCAAGATTATTTTGAGCAGTGGCATGTCCTTGTTCAGCCACTCTGTGATATAACTTACATTGATCCTCTTTTTTCATTCTAGTGTAAATGAAAGACTTTTTTCAGCGTAAATATAAATTACTTAATATTAACTCAGTTATTATTATCGGAATTCCTTAAAAAGTCAGTCGAAGTTAATCGTCTTTTTTTCTTAGAAATACACTTTGATTAATGATATTATTAGTTGTTGTTCAAGAGGGCTAGATTAATGTTAATATTAATATTAATATTAAGATAATCAGGAATTAAACCGACACGTCGTACAACCCGAACAACCGGCAGGTACTGTAGAACAACCTTGGTTTTTGTGTGATATTAATATTAATATGTACCATCCATAAAACAGTAAGGGTCGAGCCTGTATGACATGTCGGATTAATTCCTGATTATCTTGACTAAGCAAGACAATCGATGGTAAATTCTTTTCCAAAAAGAACCCCCTGGTTTATTTAATGCGTTTATAATTCCACTGCAATACCCTGAATTCTCTGGAACCTTGCAACTTGCTGAATATCGAAAACTGCAGTTTCAGCATCTTTATTCACTTTCAATAGTTCACAGACGCAGTAATCATGTGATCTAGCAAGATTAATTTTCTTAGTAATGATTAAATCGCGCTTGCGTTTTATTTAATAAAACCGATTTTGTATTCGCGTCGTCATTTGAGACATGCACTATTAGCAGTATATTAAAGATATTGAATGCGGCTACATTAACATCGCCGGAATATATATCTTATTGTTATAGTACTGTTTTGAGTCAATCCCGTCCGAATTCTAAGCGTTCATCAATAACCTTGCTTTTTGCATTGCTCTGATTGTTTAATGGCCAAGCAATTAGTTGAGCATTACAGACTTTTTACGAGATAGTCGTGGAGAAATGCGCGTTCACATAAGCTTGTCGTAATTAATGGAAATGAGTATTCCTCCTCCTGATGTTTCCAGTTTCGCGCAATTCCTAAATGACATATTTTGATTATTGATTTCGTCTAGGTTTTGCTATTCCCAGTAGGCGCTGCAAAACTCTCGTTCATTATCATAGCTTGCACAAAGGTTTGATCTTGAATATAGCTGGCTTGTACTGTCGTCAGATGAGGGTCGGATCGTTCTTTCGCTAGACGCCCGTTTGATCTTTAATATTGCGATACTTCAAAAATAAATAGATGATCCAGTATGAATTTTATTTTTGTTTGTAATACTGTTGTCGATAAGGGAAAATGTCTAATTGCAATAAGATGCAACACTATTATATAGGATAACCAAACTTTATGACGAATAAAAAAACATAATAAAGTGCAAATGTAAATATATAACGTATAAATTAGATTCCTTCCTTCCAACCCATCGTTCAGATTGCGCTTACATATCAATAACCGCTGTAATAATCATCAACTCGCCGTACAAACCACTCTTCTTAACCCGCATCAACTTTGTAATGCCCCACACCGAAGTTTGCCCAAATTAGAAAAAAACAATCTTAGAGTTCTTTCATTACTATTAGACACTGTGTGCCCTTTTAACTAGGTTAAATATTTAGCCAGTTCGTCAACGACAGATCCCATACTCAGCCTCGAGTTTGCATCTGTCTGCCACATCTTCCTAACCAATTCTAATAACGACTGCGGATACCGCCTCACCATTTCCATCTGTGGCCTAATGTTCTTATCTCTGACTGCCTCGTACAGTTGATGTTCCGAATAATTCTGATACGGGTAGCCGTGCTCGCCCCATGTCATTATCTCCCAGAATATCAAAGCGCACGCGTAGACATCTACTTTTTCGGTATAGGAAGGCGTTGGAGACCAGAATTCGGGTGCTTGCCAGTTGGGTGTGCCACATTGAGTGTGCATCGAATCATTAGCTCGTTGTCGAATACGAGCGAGACCGAAATCGTTTATTTTGGCGCGTAGATTGATTGATATGAGAATGTTCATTGATTTTAGGTCACGGTGAATGATCGAGGGGCGTCGGGTGTGGAGATAGTTTACACCCAATGATATATCGTGCATGAACATTATCTATAATAATAAATGAATATCAGTTGACATTCAGATCTCAAAAAGATACTGTAAATCGATCTAGTGGGCAAAGAACCTGTTGACTGATTGTTGGTTTTGGTGTCCTTCGCATGTAATCAAAGAGGTCACCGTGTTCGCACAGTTCCGTTATTAAGCAAAACTGTTTTGTGTCTGCACTGACACCGATGAAACGAGTAACATTTTCGTGTAATAGTTGTCTACAGAAAAGGTTGAAAACACCAGTTAGAACAGATTACCTA